GCCGTGTCACGGTGGGCTCGTCTCGCAGTGGGCCCCCCCTCCTCTGAGCCCCCCCCTTCCTCTGAGCCCCCCCCCTGTTGGATCCTCGGCTCTCCGGCGGGCTTCAGATGGCACCGCGCTCCCCCATCCGCTGGGCTCCGGCGCTCGCCGCTGAAAGGATGCAGCCGAGCGGCGCTGGCAGATCGGCTCAGAGCGGCAGGGAGGGAGGGGGGGGGCGGGGGGGGGCGGAGCAGCAGGGGGGCGGGCGTCTGTCCTGTGGGGCGCTCCATCCTGGGCTTAATCCACCCCTCCTCTCTCCTCTTTCTCCTCTCCTCTCTTTGCTCTTTCCTCTGATTTTAACGCCTTTTTTTTCCCCCTCCGAGCTGAAATCTGAAGAAATCCGGTTTGGAGCTCTCCTGCTTTCCGATCCACCTCGGAGCGTCTTCCGCCTGAAGCCGGAGCAGAGCCGGCCGGACGCAGCCTCTGCCGCTCCCTCTTAACCTTACAGCCTTGTCGGTGGATCAATCGAGCAGAAGGAGTCGGATTCTAGCAGGAGATCTGGTGACCCTGTCCAGATGACTGAGGAATTCCTGTGCCCACGTCTGCCCCCCCGTCCTTCATCTTTGCCCCCATGGTTGAGAAAAAGTGGGAAAACTGACCCCAGAAGCAGAGCGGGTGGCGTCTGTCCGGCGGCACGCTGCCGACTGAGGTTTGTCCGAGGCGCGATAAAAAAAAATGTTTAAAAAAAAGACTCAGCCCCAAAATCTCATCTTCCCTCCAGCTGGCTTTGAGAGGATGAAAAAGGCATCCGGGTGGGCGGCATCTGTCCTCCCGCCCGCAGGCGGTGTGTGCGTGCCGGGGTTTGGGCCTCAGCCGCCGCGGGTGTGTGTGCGGCGCTAAGCCAGATTTGGACACCCGGAGCCAGACGCACTAATTTAATTGTGTTCTCCAGCTGTGGCGGCCGGCGCCCGCTCAGGGTCTAATCCACCAACAGTGATGACCCGCAGGGCCCGGATCCTCCCAGCGGGGACTCGCCCACAGATGCTGCTTTACACCTTTTCCCCTCCCAGGTGCACAAACCTCCGCTCCCAGACTGAATACAGAGTCCAGAAAGATCCCAGAAAGATCCCAGAAAGATCCCAAAAAGATCCCAGAAAGATCCCTGAAAGATCCCAGAACGATCCCGGAACGATCCCAGAAAGATGGAAACCTGCAGGGACACAGGAAGGCAAAGCAGGTTCATTTTAGAGCATTTAAAGTGCTTTAACAAGAGTTTAAATGCATTAAAACAAAGAAAGAAAATGAAATCAACAAAATAAATTAAATTGATACAAAGCGAATGGTGAAGATGAAATACATTCAGTGTTCAACGGAACCGTTTTTAGTCTTCAGATCCAGATTTTAGGATCAGAACCTGAAATGCAGCCTCTCCTGGTTCTGGTTCTGGTTCTGGTTCTGGGCCCCAGTAGGAGACCAGAACCTGGTTCTCAGAAGGCCAACCCTCCTCTCCTCTCTGCATCCCACTTCTCAGAAGCCGCTCCCTTTCCTGCTTCTACCTCAAGACGTTCATTC